ATCCGTTCCTAGTAGCATTTTGTGCTACCTCATCGAACAGCTTGTTTCATTTATGCCGTCATGTCGTGATATCCAAACGGAAGGTCCTCTTGATTTCTCCGATTCATCTAGTGTGGGAAGGAATTGCTGTACTGAAGGGTCTTTTCGAAATAGATTGGATAGCACTTGATGAATCAGTACATATTGAATATCTCATGTTTTGCAATATTGCGTAGAACTTGGAAGTGAAGATATATACTGACGCTCTTAAGAAGTGTCCAAGAGAAGAAATCATTGGGAATTCCTATTGAGTGATGTGCACTAGGATGTTGGTTGAATAAATTTTTGAATGGCAGTTGCTATATCTTTGAATTGGTATCGTTTCCATATATTTGGTGTGCTGGGGTGCACATCAGTTCAAAATAAATTTTTTAACCGACTGTATTCAGTTGCTGGTTTCTCAGTAACAATATCAGGAGCTGTTCTAATCCACCTGATCATGTATGATAAAAGTATGAAGATCAGGAAGTCATAACAATATCCGTCTCTTTCTTTCTGTCTTCAGACAGCAGTTTCAAGGAGTGTACGAGTTTCTAAAAAAATCTCAAAACGCCGTTACGTAGTTCCTCACCGCGCGCAAGTCACATTATCCATTATAACTGCAAACGGGCCGTTTAAATTAAAGCAACGTCACGTTTTTCATGAATCTTATAAATTAAATGAACTTTTCAAACGTAGATTACGATCTCGATATCGCCTATAATTCAAATGATCCGATAATCAAGCGAAACGATAGACGACGCTTTGTATATCTAGCCGAGGAGATGGAGGAGATAAAACGAGATTTAGGATATAGGTAAGCGAAGGTCTTCTTCTCATTAGACTCGAACAGAATACTAACGAAGCGATTCTTTTTTCGGGCAGGAAACTGTAAAAAGTTTTATGCTAGATGTTCTTTATATAAACCACTCAAAATGAATATAGAGACATGTCCTTAAAATGCAATAAGTAAAAAAATATGTATTATTTTGTCAAACATTTATATTTATAAAATAGTTTATAGGTGCCTTCATTAAATTTAACTTACATTGTTTTCAAAATGCTGTTTGGTAATGCGATTAAAAAGAAATAGAAATGAGTGTCAAAAACAAATAAAATTTAATTTAGCAAAAAATTAAGAAAAATGTACATTAATAGTGAGTACGTCCACCCCTGGCTCTAAGAAGTTCGGCACAACGACGAGGCATGCTTTCCACCAAATTTCTAATTATTTGTTGTAGTAACTGCTCGTGAATCGTCAAAAGAGCATCTGCAACTTGGTTCAGATTTTGGAAGGGTTGATGATCCTTCAAACGTCTTTCCAGTTCATCCCAGAGCTGCTCAATAGGATTTAAATCCGGACTATTAGCTGGCCATCTCATGACATTAACATTGTGCTCCTGTAGAAAATTTCTCAGGACCCTGGCTACGTGTGGCCTGGCATTATCTTGTAACATGAACCCAGCGCCCATATTTTCGGCAAATGGGACGACATGAGGTTCCAATATCTCCTCTATGTAACGAACAGCCGGTAAAGTCCCTTCCCGAAATACCACAAGGTCCGTGTGTCCTGTCAAAGTTATACCAGCCCATACCATTATGGATCCACCTCTAAATGGAACAATTTCTTGCACAGAGTCATCCAAATAGCGTTCACTGGGACCTCTCCATAACCGAACACGTCCGTCATTGTTGAATAACATGAATTTTGTTTCATCTGTAAACATTACATTGGCCCACTGCTCTAAATTCCAATTACGATGCTCATGACAAAAGTTTATACGATTTCCTCGATGAGCTGGAGTTAATCTAGGGTGTCTAGCAGATCGTCTTGCATGAAGTTGTACTTCGTGAAGTCGGTTTCATATCGTTTGGTTCGAAATTCGCGTTCCCGTAGCTTCTATAAGGCGATTTTGCAGTGTTCTAGCAGAATCGGTGCGACCCCTAATTGCTCTACTTCAATCAATGCCACTGCTCTAGCAACTTGAAATTCTTTGAGGTACACCCTACGTATCGTCCTTCTACCCAGTACATCAACATTCATTGTTTAAATTTTAAAATGTAATACCTATCACGAACTAAAGTAAAGTAAAACTAAATACAAGAGTTGTTATATTAATGATTTTGTAGCTGAAAGTACAAAAAAAAAGTAAACAACAACCGAATGGAACATGATAAGAATTAGTATCGAGTACACTCCAGAAGTTTTTATCATAAAATAATACATATTTTTTTACTTACTGGATTTCAAGGATGTGTCTCTAAATTCAATTTGAGTAGTTCATTTCATGAGTTTTTATTGACAGATGTTTTGGCAAATCATCTCTTAGCGCATCGATATAATTCACATATTTATTTTTTGTATGTATGGTACTCCAATTAAGTTATTGGAGTTCGTATTTTTGAAAGGTCAAAATTGGTGTTTCAAATATGAAAACACTAAATCTCCACTAAAATTTGATCATACTAAACTCCACTCAATTTTTTGTTTTGAACTTTGAAATGATTTTAGTCATGTGAAACATAATCTGAAGCTGTACTGGAAATTAAAAACTCACTATCAGTCCTAGAAAATCTGTTCTGGTTACTAAAAGTGGAAAATATGTCAATGTATCTCAAGCTTCAATTTTCAAGATCTTTTATTTAGAGAACCGTGTTTATGTGTTATAAACTTTCTGGGAACGCGCTTTAAGAGCACAGCTCTTGTGTTTTTTCTTTAAAAAAACTTTAAATGAAACTCAGCTCACATTTGTGAAAGAACTGATTATTATCGATCATGCTGTTCAATTTTTCTAAGTTTTAATTTTTTTCCTCTTTTCAGTTTATTACTATTCAATGTTAAAAGATTTTTAGGCCTATTTTTATTTACGAACCGAATTGAACCGAAGGGCTACCGAAACAGCCCGAAAAATCAATTAGGCATTTGGCAATGACAGTGTTAATGAACGCACTGTTCGATGTTGGTTTGCTCCCCTCAAAGGGGAGCCCAAAGTGGTCGACCTACAGTAATCTAGGACGAGGATTTGAGGACTCTGGTGGAGACTGACACATCACAAACGGTGCTTGGGATGACTGAAGAACTAAGTGTCAGCTCCCATGCGGTTTTTAGTGGTTTGAAACGTATTGGAAAAGTCAAAAAGCTAATATGTCGGTCGTACTGAATAGGTATGAAACCTATGGTTTCCTATACTTCGGCAGTTAAGATGCAGAAAGTGTGAGCTTCACCTGTTTTGGAATTACAAAATCGTCTCACCCTTATGTGGACACCTCTGGGGTTGTTTAATTTAACAAGGGATTTAAAGAAAAGAAGTATTTTTATGCGCTCATGAAAAGCTTCATGGACTGCAAGGGCCTTGCACTGAAAGCTGCAGAGAAACTCAGAAGCATTTGGTAATAGTACAGGATCCCGCCGCAAAATCACTACGATCGTAGCGAGGTTAATCAAACTCAAATTTTCACATATATTTATGAATAAGAAAATACATTTATGACAGGTTACCAGTCAAAAAGTGGCCGTCAATATTTTTATTTCAAAAAATCAAGCTACTAAAATATTTTATGGAGTAAGAGCCGGGTCGAACCCCCTACGAAACCCTTCATCACTTGGAAGGATCGATTCCAGCTTGAGAAATGATTCTGTGAAACATGTTCTCCCTAATTAAGGAGGCAGTTGTCCTGAAAATCTTGCGAAAAAAAATTGGATTGGATAATTTAGGAAACATTCGCTACATGAATAGTGTTTTACAAGTATTGTTCATGACGAGCTTTTAACGATGAACGAGAACAATAATGTTTTCTACTTATTCACCAAACTCAAACACCTGTTCATGCAGCTGCAGTTTCGTAAGAATGTATCATCTCCAAATACGCAAAGTTGACCAGAGGAAAGTTGCAACCTCAGCATATGAATCTTTATAAATATTGAGGTAGATCAAGATCAACAGAAAGTATTGAGAAATTCATTCAGTATTCATTGACTACTCTTCAGAAACGGTTCCAAAGCATTTCAAGAATGCAGCACATCTTTTCATCGTACCTGCTGAGTAGCAGTATAATGTTAGTTTTTTGGTGATTCTTTGTATCTTTCTTAACTATTTTATTAACTACCCTTATCGTAATTTTTTCGTCTTCATCATAATAAATATTTCATTCAGTTTTAAATGAGTTCTTTCATTATTTGGATGAACGAGGGTTGGTTCAAACAGCGATAAATCCTCTCGTGATGAGCAAAGCGAGTACAGAGTTGCGACAATACGATAAAACTCTTATATTTATTCTTCAAACTTCAATCTGAAATGTTATTGATTTCCTTCTGCAGTCTCGGACTGTTTGGACTGATTTGAAGAGTTCAAAATCATCAGCAAAAAGAAGACAATCTATATATTTCAGAACTGACGGTAAATCTTTGATGAAGTGGACCTAGATTAGATCCTTGTGGTACACCTGACACCTAGCTGGAAATTTATCTGAAAGTTTTCAGTTATGTTTGACAATGAAAACCCGATTTTAAAGATGAGTCTCCGTTAATTCCATTTTTTTTTTCATATTTACTCAATTAATATGTAATTTGTCGTAAATGTATTCTCCTATTCACAAATGTATGTAAAAACCTGAGTTTGGTTAACTACGCTATGGACGTAGTGATTCTGCAGCGGGATCCTAGACTGTAATGAATGGATGAAAATCGTTTTCCGATTAGTTTTATGACAAAGTTTGAGTCTTGTTTGTGGGGACCCCGTTAGGGGCGGGGTGAGGTTGGTATACACTAGTTGCGTATGGTTTAGCCTCACAACATATTTCTCATTCTACGTACATTTCAATTTTGTAAGTAGTTAGTTTCACAAGTTTCAAAATAGTGACAATGCTCTTACTTTAGTTAGTGAGTTGTTGGGCTTCTTCTTCATCTTCAAGCATCGCGATTCTTTGTCCTGTTGGTGTGGTTCCTCTTCTTGGTTTATTAGAGTGGTTCGGGTACAACAGTAATGGTCGGTATGCAGGAGAACTGGATTCAAAGTTCAGGTGTGGCTCCGGGCTGTGGAGCCGCCCATTACCTGATCGCCAACGGGAACTTATCCAGGATGTCCTGGAACAACTCCGGGTTATTCTCCAAAACTCCTAAGAGTCTGACTGGGGGAAAGGGGAGCTTCTTCCTCGAGATCCTTTTGGTAGTTACGCATGACTTTTAGAGAATAGACAGCGTGCCGATGGCAGCGGTATTTGTGCTGGAATCCTAAGTTGATAGGTGTGAGTTTGACATATATAGTTGGTTGAAAGGGAATAGGTAGGGAGCATATTGGAGCCTCTTTCATCATTGATATTCGTAGTTTTAGTCTTCTGTAGATACCATAATTGGGTCATTGAATAGAACCGGTCGATACTTGATGAAAATCCATATTAAAACTAATTATTACACTTTATTGTATGATTTTCACTATAAAGGGTTTTACAGAAACCGTAAAATGAGTTTTTTTTGTATAATTGGGGTCTTGGTCCATGCTTAATCATACTCGTTCTTCAAGAATAGTTGTTTTCGATAATTCATTCATTGTTTATTCTAAAACCACTGATAAGATCCTATTTTTGGCAGTGCTGTCTGGAGTTGGGTGACATATGCTTTGTTCTTGTGGTCTGATTTGATCTAGTTGAAGTTACAGCTATATACAGAAAAAGACAAACGATTAATGTCGTCCAGTGGTCAATGTCGAAGCTTGGATTTGTAATAGATCGCCTTTGGGAGTCTTATTTGAGTCTCCTGTCCCGAGGCAATGCGTACTTGTGTGTTCAATGGTTTTCTTCGAATTGTACACAACCCATACTTGTTTGGGGTTGAAAATCCTCATAAAATCGGTATAAAATTTTGCGAAAGAATAACCCAAATATTCATTACATAACCTCTATAACCTGATATGTTTTCACTGAAATTCCCACACGATAGTGACGTATTATTGAGTAATGATTTTTTACGTCTTTCATACCTAGATAATTTCCATTTTCAATTAAACTGTTGGAGAGTCCTATAATGATTTTTCGCCATTAGAAACTGATAATCGAAAAGATATCATCTCACGGCGCTGTAACTGGAATAAAGCGCGTGATTTTCAGGCCATGAATGCAGGAAGTTTGATATAAAACACGGAATTAATGAAGTAGCAACTGAACACCTCACGCCGTTCTATAAGATTGGTCGATATTTCAATTTGTGTTCGAATTACTTTTGAATAACTATTAATTGCTTTTTAGCACGGTCTGGTATATGGAAGTTTTCGAAGCGGGCATTCATGAATAAGATATATGAAAAATATAATTTTGAAATACAAAAACTATCAAAATAGAAAATAATATTTTGTTTCAATAAAAGAATTCTCACCTCTTTTTAGCTTATAACTATACGTTCATTAGTTCTTTAGATGTCTAGCATAATATAGTCTGTATAGTCAGTCAGTCAGTTTATCGATAATACAACCAAAAGAGTTAAATTATAAACAGATTACAGATCATACATAAAAACATCGAAAAGCAATAAAAAACAGGTGGTTTAATAAAATATGAAAATATGCATGCATGCATAAAAAATAAAATCAGTTGAAATCTGTGTTTCCCAGATACTCACTTATAGAGTAGTACGCTTTTTTTAATAAGATATTTTTGACTACTATTTTTAATTTATCCATTAGATATTTGTAGCAGTTTGGTAGATGATTAAACAAGGTTATTGCCATGTATTTTGGACAACGTTCCGTTTTTTGGAAACGGTGATTCGGCACTGGAAGTGCCGTGTGATATCTACTGTTTCCCAGCGCTCTGTTTTGGCGTTTATTAGTATATGCATGACATAGAAAGACTGGAAAGTCAGGATTTTCAGCTGTACAAATAAATCCTCACAGCTGACTCTCCTGGCCACTACAACGATATTTCTAACTGCTCTTTTCTGGAGTTTAAGTAACCTATCGGCCTCCTGGGATACTCCTCATACTAGGATTCCAAATGTCATTACTGACTGAAAGTGTGCAAAATATATTATCATCAATACAGATTTTTCGACGGTCTTCCTGAGTTGGTACGGGGGATAACACTTGAGAGCTAGTTTTTGCACACTTCATTTATATGGGTAGTCCATGTACAGCGTCCATTCACAAGCAGCCCAAGGAACTTCATAGAAGGTTCTTGAGTGATAGATCTGCCGTTAGATTTCAGCAACAAGCTGTGGTCGAGTTTATTATTTGAGTGACTAAATCTTGTGAACGTTGTCTTCTCCATGTTCAAAACTAATCCATTTGAATCCATTGGCTTTCGAACTGTTTGCTCTACATTACTCCCTGTAGCTGTGAGGGAGGTGTCGTCTGCATACATTATACAACTTTCATTAGAAATGTCATTCGCGTATTTCAGATACAACAGAGGACCTATAACAGAACCCTGGGGAACCCTACATCATTTATTGTTTTCAACGAAGTGTGATTATTTGCTTGAACATACTGCATCCTGTTTGTCGAATAACTTTTCAGCCAATCATGTACCACTCCTCTGAAACCGTACAGTTCTAGTTTTGTTAAAAGATGTTCATGGTTCGCAAGATCAAATGCCTTGCTTAGATACAAAAAGGTGCAAATCACGTTGATATCTTCGTCTAACTTCTCTGAAAGTCTATTTACAAGCATCACCATTGCATTTGAGCGGGATCCTGTACTATTATATTCTTTAATCCACCTCCGCCAATAGCGATCGGCCAAATACTGAGCTTTTCTCCATTGTGTGGGGTGATTTTTTTTAATTTGCGGTCAACTGCGATCCAATTCTAATGTTCTTTTTCTCATTTCAGGTGACATCCTCAGTGGAGTTTGCTACGTGGGAATATGGAACGTGGAAGCCATGAGCATGTTCGTCCTCATCCCCCTCGTCGTCTACCTCCTCTTCGGTACCATCTTTCTTGCGTCGGGCTTTGTATCCCTCTTCAGAATAAGGACCGTAATGAAACACGACGGCACCAAGACGGACAAGCTGGAGAAGCTGATGATCCGCATAGGGGTGTTCTCCGTCCTTTATACCCTCCCAGCGCTTGTTGTCATATCCTGCCTCATCTACGAGCACACCTACTTCGATGACTGGATGATGACGTGGAACCAGGACATGTGCCAGAAGTCCAAGTACGCTATTCCTTGTCCGAGGGATATAAGAGTGGAAAGCCATCCTAGATTCGAAGTGTTCATGATCAAATATCTGATGACGATGATAGTCGGTATCACGTCTAGCGTCTGGATCTGGTCGGGGAAGACAGTGCACAGTTGGAAGGTGTTTTTTAACAGGTTGAAGGGTAGGCATGTCGAGGCCTATGTTTGAACGTTGTTAGATTTCAAGTTATTTATGGGTCCGATTGTAGCGGACTTTTTTGTGACCAAAAATGTACCATTTTTATCAATTTGATTGCTGAAGAAGGATGCAAGTGGAATGAATGCAGTGCCAATCGAAGGACAGTGACAAAAGAAAAAGAGAATCCTTTCAAAAGTTTCACCAAGATGGAAATTCAGGAGCTATAAGAAATTCAACTCAATGACATTTAAATATGTATAAGAACTTAAAATTGCAACAATGTTTCAATGGAATGCCATAATTTAAAATATTCAATAGCTGTCAGATTCGTATCTATTCAACAAATAACAACCAACTAGTAGAAAAATTGGAACTGCCAAAACTTTTCATATTGCCAGGGCATGTAAGCAAAACTCACCTCTTACTCTGGGCATATTCAATGCAATCATGGAAAATGTGAGTCAGTTATGTGAAAGACTCAACATATACCAAAAGCATTGAAGTAATTTGAGAAACTCTGCGCTAGGAACCCCAGGGGTTTTAAATTCCACTTGCCTATGAATGATGAGTGAATGGTTTTTTAAGGTGTGATAAACAACACAATGAAATGGGAGTCTTGTAGACGTAAATATGTGTACCTAACCTTTTTGTAAAATAGGCTTGTTTATTCTTGTAATATTTGTTGATGACATGACTAGATGCACTGCCAGTTGCTCTTTATTAAAATATGTTTGATATGTATCCATTTCTGAGTTGGAAGAAACAAAATTGAGTCTCTGAATGGTCGTATATGTTGACGTTTATATTTTTCCCTTCAATTTCATCGACTACAGCCAAATAGCTGAACTTTCCTTTGTTATCATTGACGATAATACTCATAGTTGATGTTTTTTTTTCTATGGTTATTAACATTTCGTTACTCAGACAATCATGTTAAAAGCGTTCAGTATTTTCTAATTTAATTTCATCAGAGAAAATATATAATATTCAAATATTTACATGTCTTCAATTATAACAAGCAAGGTTTCACCTACAGTATTTCAATTGAAGTTAATACTATTAGTCATTTTACACAGTTGGACTTAATTCTAGAACTGAAACTAAAATCGAAGCACTATATTTACAATCATTCACTATCATTGAAGCTAGTTATAACGCCAAAACAAGTTGATTTAAACCAGATGGAATATATACAACAATTCTGATGAATTCGGAAAGCCATTTTGGACAATATAATGACTAGTTTTACTTGCTCTTATTGCGGCATGAAATTGAAAGTTTAATTTTTTACTCGAGAATATTGCTTTACTTTGATTGATACATAAGTTTCATTTAAGAAGACTCATAGCTGACAATTACCACCCGTTCAGTTATGATCAAAGGATGACATATTTTATATACTTGTGTAAGAAGTTTCTTTGTCAATGAGCATCCTGCCATTGTTTATCGCTTCCAAAGAATCTAAGATAAGCGCACACAAATCAAAAAGTATTTTTTAAAGTTTTAACTTTGTGACATTCATGTATAATAGTATTTTGTACAGTGTAAATAATACTCATTATGTCGTAAGATTTTGACTGAAAGTAAATTTTTATATTTTAAGTAAGTTGTGACAAGGGCATCACAGATAAACTTTGTTTCCTACTTCCACTTTTTGTGAGAAGAATCCAGATGAGATTTGGAGAACAGGGAGTATATTGCAAAAATATTCAAGAATATTTCAAGGAAACATTGTTTTGCATCGCATGAAGGATTGATGCCCCGCCATACAGTAAAGTTTAATGTAGAAATAAATTTACTGGTTTATCAGATTAAAATATTTCACAAAAGGTCCGTGTGAAATAATGGCCCACTGTATCAAGTCTGTGTAAATATTTATACTTTATAGTGGAATATTTATTGATTTCATTGAAAATTATTAACATTCTGGGAATTTGAGAATTTGTTTTTTTTATGGAACACTAATGAAGAGTGCTGTGAGTTTGATCTGAATTATTTCAAATAGTTAAATATTTTCAGTTTCCAACACCTTGAATTTTGTCGAGTTCTATATTAAAAAGTTTCGATTTAAGGGATTCCTGAATTCCCGAATCTATTCAGTTAATCAATTCAACTCAACTATTTTGAATTAAAAATTGTAATATTAGTAGATTAGGATTCTTTTTTAGTAATATGTATAAAATATATATTTTGGCTTGTCAATTACTTGTATATTACTTTTCTAATTAAATGTTTGTCTTTATTATGTTTCTATCTTTTCCCAAACCATACAAAATATAAACCTGACTGATCATCGACAAGATTTAACTGAAAAAGTTGATGATTTCAGTTAACTCCTTACATGAGAACTAGACATTAAAAAGGATGAATTGGTTCTTTGTTTTAAAGAAACTTCAACTATTGAAAGTTATCTTCAGTTCGAATATACTGTATACTTCCTTACCAAAGATAAGGATCCCACTGCTAGCCAACTGTAGGTATAGATGAAGCCAGAGTCCAAAAACATCGCATTAGTGATCCAACACCAGATAGCAATGTTTCGACCTGTCATGGTTGTCATCAGTAGTAGATACTGAAATGAAACAAGAATGTATGGTTAGACTCAAATATCCTTGAGGGACATGCTAAAAGTATATCCAAATATATCTCCTTATGAAAACGTCATCTGTGGGATAGACAGTAAATTCAAATGCCAAATCTTGCTCATACAAGATGAACATGGTTCCCCAGCAAACATGGTAATATTTCCGAAACTTTGAGGCAATGTCACAAGGTGATGGGCAATAAAAGTGAAACAAATTTGTCTCTAAGTCATCTTCTGAATTGAGAATTTTGGAAGTATTATCAGAAAATACTACTTACTTACTTACTACTAGCTTTAAACATTCATTAAGATGTTACTGGACACTGAGCAGCTGTAATTCATCAAATAGTTGGTTCAGTAATAGTGTCTATATTTTTTTTCTGCACTCCACTTGTATGAGATGATTCATTCGAAAACAAAGGCACGACAGGTTTTTTGAATAATCTTTTGAATCCATTATTTATATACACATACACTCACAAATATTAATGAATATATATAATGAAAATTGTTCAATGTCTTCATGATATTTTGAAGGGCAGATATGTCTATTGGCATCAAAACTTTCCAATACAAATCATGAAATTATAAAACAGTCATCTCAAGAATATTAATAGTGATATTGTTATTGTCTTCAACTACTTTCAGCTTTTAGCTCTCACCTAGTTTTTCCATTTCAAATATATATAGAATACCTTGCACTCAACACGGATCAGGACCATAAACTTTTTAAGAATCTCCAGGTGATTACGTACTGTCAACCTAAACGTTTCGTCTAGTGATAATAGTGAAAGTGATTATGGTAAATAAGCTAGTTAAATTGAAATTGTTGAAATGTTGGCGTAACTACCTGTCGAGATAACATTGTAATAATTCCTCAACTGCAATCAAATTGTATACCTTGATATGTTCCAAATAATTTGAATTTACCAGTAAAAATGACATTAAACACAGAACACAGGTCACAGAAACTCTCAACATCAAAGTACATCAGCTGAGTGTCTCATCTGTAAGGTATTCTGTGATATCAGTGCAGAGTCAAGGCATTTCGTTATCTACGTTTGACGGAATAGTCACTTTCGAAAAAATGCTTGAGGACTTTTTCGATAAGATGTGACGGTACTTTATTGGTCCTGGAAGTCTCTACACCCGAATAGCTCCGGTGTAACCGTTGGGAAGCTCTGCGGTTTCTGTGATTTTAATTTATGTGACCTAAAATAGTATATTGGGTATATTGCTATCTTCATTTTATCGACTTTAATTACTTCAAACATAGACGTGATAATATATAGACTGGATGTGACGTTACTTTTACATATACTCCACCTGCGAATCACACAATGACCTAGCCATTGCGTCACAGCACCATGTGACAAATCAAATCCCATAATTTTCACAATGTAAATATGCAACACGTAAAACATCGCGACGTTGTAACTGAAGTGTGTGAGTGACGTAGATGCCAGGTCGTGAATCTCTTCATCTTTTTAGTTGTTGGAGTCAGTGGAGTCTCTTCAATGGCCAGTCCATATTCATTATTACATCACTGTTTCTACTGTCTATGCTTGGAGTCTCTCGTCAATGGCCAGTCCATATTTATTACGTCACTGATTATGAATGACAAGTTTCAAGGAAAAATAACATATACTCTATAAGTAACTATTTTTCATAATATTAACTTATTGGTTTCAAAGAAAACTTCATTTACGAGGGCTATCTAGTACGGATGTTATTATTCATATAGGTAGTTTTGAAATAACATGATATTTGAGGTGAAAAATGCACATAGGTTATGGAACAATCTCAAGATTATCAAAGGTTTGTTTTTACACACTAATAAAAACAAAAACATTGAACATCTGATACAATTTCAGGATTGAACAATTTACCTTCAAAAACATTATACCAAAATCAGAAACGCATGTACACCAGACCAGCACTGGTTCAACTACAACCAACAGTAGGAGCTCACAAACAAAGTGTTTTTCAAGAATTTTACCATTGTCGCAATTCATCAACAGAATCGAAATATTCACAGGCAGCTAATACCCCGAAACAAGAACAGAATGAGCAGAAAGTAATTGTTACAGATAAATCAACACTTGCTGAAAAGCTTAAGAAAGCCGTGAAAGAATATGGATCGACTGTCATAGTATTCCATGTAGGGATATCTCTTTTATCTTTGGGTACTTGTTACTTATTAGTATCTGCGTAAGTATCGCTTTAGAATAATGAAAGTGGATTAATGCAAGCCAATTCAACTGATGATTATTTCAATTGAAATTTAGGAAAATAACTGTTCAAATAAGGATTCATGCAAAATTCAGAACAACATACTGTTTGCAAATCTTAATTAAAAACTTGGCACTATGGTGTTTCTGGACATGTTCGGCGGACTACAATCAGAGAGTACAAAATCCAGGCTGGTAGGCCATAGTTGAAAGGAATTTGAAGTGTCAAACGTTTCATTTGCTACTGTGGCAGACATCTTCAGTGGTGTATATATTGACTGTGAGGATAAAGGTAGTATCTCAGAAACGAATTCTATAAGTTTAATAAAAAATATTCCAAAACCAAGTGTGTACTAGTGAAATGATTATTTACTAAAACCTATGATGAAACTTGAGGAAATTTTTCATTGGAATATACATATACCATAATAATATATATTCCAAAGAACAAACTCTGGCATGTAATAAATCGATATATGCTTAACAAATGTTGAAATTCAACTGCTACTTTGTCTTTTCGTAATCACCAGTAAGAAAAAAATTGACTGAATATAAACTGAATATGTTTTAGTGATCAAGGTTGAACTTTTGAATTGACTTCAACTTCTCAGTTGAATTTGGCTTAACAATCAATTGTTTCAAAATGACAAGTTTTTTGAAATTGGGATTTCTGCACGAGCCTTGCATCAGCTCATCATTATTATTTTCTTTTCAGGGGTTTAGATGTGGCAGCCATCTTTAAGGCTGTAGGCCTAGAAGACTGGACATCCAATAATCAATTAGCTGCTAGTGCAGGAACATTTGCAGTGGCTTATGCTGTTCACAAAGTTTTTGCACCAGCAAGGATCGCAATTACCTTGGGATCTGTACCTTTCATTGTTAGGTATCTGAGAAAGATTGGGTTTTTAAAAAAATAGGTTAACATGGGATTATTGTGATATATTTTTTTTATGTCTTTGGCAGACCATGTGAAACGGAATGTTTCTACTAAATAAAGTACCCAAGATACATTTTCAATTGTTGAACAAAAACTTTTGGCATGAGGAAATCTTTTACTGCCTTTCTCAAGTGCTCAAGATTTTTCAATACTTTTAAATATTTCGGTAGGTGGTTATATATTTTCCTACATTCACATATAACTGAATTTTTTGTAAGAGTTGTTTTTGGTATTGGCATGCTAAGATTGTTGCTTCGGGTGGTTACGTAAGTGCGAGTCGATACAAGATCAAATGCACATAACACGCTGACAATGTTAATTATTGGCATTTTACGAAAACAAGTTTAACAATGGTGAATGAATATCTCCCAACTGTTTTTCCATTCTGAATAAGTTTTGTAATAACCTGGTACCGGACCTTCTCAACCATAGCCCTGTAAGTTATGACAGGTGTAGTTCCGATAGAACTCCCAGTAGAGGAAACAGTAGAAATATACAACAGCACAAGAGAACGACGGATGGAATTGAAAAGAAAGGCAAGGATAGCCACGGTCACCAAGTGGCAAAACAGACGGAATAACAATTTGACCGTCGGCCAGTCTACAAAAGGGCTCGTACCTGAAACAGCTCTATGGTTAGAGTGCTAACATAGGAGACTAGAAGTTTTCGTATCTACAACGATAGGACGGCACCCCGGTGACCACCAGTCGGTGGTCGCTGGTACCGACAGAAGGGAGAAAGAGAGAGAGAGCGCAGGAGATTGGAGAGAGAGTGCAGGAGTTTGGAGAGAGAGCACAGGAGACTGGAGACTGGAGAGAGAGCACAGGAAAGTGGAGATCGAGATGGGTACAACAATATCGCAGGCCAATATAATAGTGGAGATGCTAGAAAGCCAGACAAAGTGGAACAGCACACCAAACTACCTGAGTCAACATAAATACGCCTTAAGCAGCTGTAATATCCAGTCATCAGAGATTACTCAGAATGTATATACCTCTGAAGAAGCTAGTCACTCGCACCAGCGAAACGTCAGGAAGAAATTCCAAAAATTGATGGCCATCAAATCCGAAAAATAGTGATACTGAAAACCTCGCGAAAGCCCTTACCAGTTTGTCAATTTCACAACCATGTAAAAGAAATCATGAAAAGAAAAAATAAATACCTGAGAGGACTCTCCAAGCTTGGTGAGTAATCTAAACAAGTCAGTTAATACGCATTGTATTGCAAAAATGTCAAATGGGGTAGGTTTTAGCTGGTTGGCCAGGGTACTTTGAATTCTGCACGTCCTTTGGAGATTTCCTCCGCCAGAAAAAAAAGGATTTGTGATCAGTCTAAATAAAAAATTTTCACAAGCTAGAGCGAGCCAGAGAAACAAAATTTTACCGAATACTGATATTAAATTCAATTTGAATAATATGCAAAAATTAAAGTATTTCTAAGAGAACAAGAATTGCGTAAGGACAAATATTGGTTTCCATTTTTGAAAAGTACAAAAATGAAAGCATTTTTCAAGTTTCGAGTCACAGAGAATGGTGTAACTTAAGGTGTAACTTTTTTTGTTCTAATCTTATTTCAGATCTGTCTTTGCCGCCAAAAGTTATTTGCTTTATCTCTCCTCTATCACAATACATCGAGCGGAGATAGCGAATAACTTTTGACATTATCAACTTAACCTGAGTGTAAAGCTATGTAACATATATAGCAATGCTTTACGTTGAGTGTCCTCGCCGCATACAGTAACACAAAACCCTGCAGCAAGGAGCAGATAGTTAGGGTGAGTTCACCTTTTACCCTCCAATCGGCTTTGAAGACACCTGCCAATAGAGCTCCCAAAAACCCGAAAACGGTCAGAACGGCTTCGACAGCTCCGTTGTATATCGGCGTCGAAGAATCGTTTACTATTACTTGCCACAATGGCTGTATGTAAGTTTGCACCTGGATGAAACCGCAAGTAGATAACGCGTACCACAGCGACCATTTAATTACGTAAGTGTTTGTGAAGGAGTTCTTGAAGTGATTGCCCATCAGGACGAAAGCGCTGGTTATCTTGGAGACGAAAGATTGCTCATCCGCACCCTCTTGGTGGAAGTAGATGCTCTTTTTGACGCTGGGGAGGAAAACGCTCCATACTGTGGCGACGATCAGAGCTGAAAAAAAAAACGATAAAATTTCTCAATTCAATCATTATATAGTGCGAGTTTATTAACTCATTCTACTTTGAAAAATTACATAAAAAAAAGAGTAATTTTGAAACAACTGTTTTTATATGATGAGTATACCCAAAAACACTTGAAATGTTGCCAGTGGCATACGGTGATTGTACTCTGGGTCAGTGGTAAATGATATTGTGTATACTTAAAGTTCGCGGCACTCTCAAAGGACAAAAAAACCAATACATAGAAATAAACCGGCTGCAAACTACTCCACTTGGACTGAGGAGTTGGCAGTTCGTATTGGATAACTTTTGCTAACTGAGTTTTATGGTTGGCTGAAGTCATAAAATTAAATTTGAAGTCATGTTACGGTGACAAAAAGAAATCGGGGATGGTTATCGCCGTCGTGTCGTCAATGTTCAGTTCAGGAACCGATCGCGATTTGAGTGTTGAAATTCGATATTGTGTATTTGCGTAACAAATACTTAGAACGAATAACTAAATATAGACAAGAACAACTGCAAATTTTCTATTTGGAAGAAACTTGGTATGACAATCACGACACAGTTACGAAAGGGTGGACTGATGGTTCGAGAATGTGTACGCCTAACATGCCTGCAAACAAAGGATTGCGACTAATCATTGTGCATTGCGGAAAAAGTAAAGAATGGGTTCCGAATTCTTTGAAATTATGTGGAAAAAAACTGCAATGTTGACTATCATAAGAACATGGAAGCTAATATTTTTGAGGAATGGTTTGAAAACACATTGATCCCAAATTTGGATGCGAATAGTGTAATAGTTCTTGACAACGCTTCCTATCATTCGCGACAGCTCATCAAAGTACCGAATAAAAATTCGAGGAAAGATGAAATACACAGTTTTTTAATGTATATCATTTTGTATTTTGTAGATTACTATACAAAAAACCAATTAATTGAAGTTTTACAGACAAAAACATTTTGAAAAGTGTATACCCTTGAGAGTATTGCTGAAAAGTATGGACACACCATACTGAGACTTCCCCCCTATTTTTGTGTTTGAATTCCCATCGAGTTGATTTGGGGAAAATTGAAACAAAGCATCAGGCGTAAAAATAACTTTCCAAAATTTGATAGGAAGGTAATGGAGCTAATTGTAGAAGAAGTATCTTTATTGATTTAAATGAAGACAGTGATAGTGAAACTGAGAATATGAAAAAGACATTTTCAGAAGCTTTCGAAGAAAGTTAGTTAAGTGTTTTTTTTGAAGCGATTGATTGTATATATATGTGAGTACGTAGTATTCAGAAGTATTTTCAATTATCACTCCGTTATTTGAATCCCTACTTACCCACTCACCAAAGACGAAATATTTATAAAATATATTTTTGTAATTTTTCGGCCAGAAACAACACCGTTATTATGCCTCGGCCACCCAGTTCACACCAGATTTGGCCCCCTGCGAGTTTTTTCTGTTCCCTAGATTGAAGAGACCCATGAAAGGATGGCCTTTTGCGACGATTAAGAAGATGAAAACCGAATTGCTGGAGAGCTCAGGATCATACCAAAAAGTGCATATCAGAACCGCATGGAGTATTGGATAAATGGCTGGCACAAGTGTATTACATCTGAGAGGGGCTATTTTGAGGGCTTTTTTGAAGGGGACAAAATAGAAATTAATTGATGGATAAATGAATATTTTCAGACCTCATATTTGTTTTCATTTTGTTGTTATTTTGAAAGCTAATCAATGATTTTCTAAATATATTTCGAAAGTTACTGAACCATTCTCAACTGTAAGCGTCTTTATTAGAAGATGGAGTTGAAGAACATCCAGTATTAATTTCAAACACAACAAGCATATCAAAATTATGATATCTGTTAGTCATCAAGTTTATCCTTAAAAAATACTATTTTACAATACCGGCAATACACTCGTCTTTTGATCAGATAAATAGATAACGCACGGTATATCCTGGAAATAATGATAAATTTAGTCGATGTGATACCGTTTCAGAAACATTGATCAATATCACATTTTCCATGCCACGAGAAATGGAATATTTTTGAGTGGAAACTACATATTCCTCCTGGCCTAAATGACAGCCCGCCTACATTAACATATACAGGGTGTTCCTTAAACACATACTAATATTTAAGGAGGTAATTCTTAGACCCATTTTAAGGAAAAAACGTCCTATGGACGTATGTCCTAAACGCCTTAACTTTTGAGATACAGGGTGGCAAAGTTTTCAAAAATNTTTTGCGTTCATAAGGTTTGTTCTTGACTATTTTACTTACAGTTGAGAAAGGAATTTCGGTCAAATCTAATGTTGCTTGTAATAGTTTGTTTTCCTCGAAACCAAACTTGAGATGTAGATTCTTATATACATTGAAACATACTCGCTGTGTTTTTTGGCCTTTGAGAGTGCCAAAAACTTTAAGAGTAAACAATATAATTTACTTCGACTATACTGAAACATATTCCTGAGTGAAAGTGAAGGAGATCAGTGACAGGTAGACTAACACCAAAGTTTTTGTTGTTCCCTAAGACGTATATCGAAAGGAATGTGGGCATCTACGATCACAACTTTTCGAACTTTCCTGATGAGATGTTGATAAAACTACCAGTGTCTCATAACTCTTACCTGCCAATGTAATGTAGTTCAGTTCTCGATAGTCCATCAGACTGAGAGATATCAAGAGTTGAGCCACAACACCAGAGATGGCGCGACCGGCCAATATGGCGGCTCTGGTATGGGAAGTCACTAGTTGGTACCATTGCGTATCGACGTTGGCATAAATATAGGTGTAGTAGGCTACCTCTGTGGCACAGAAAGTACCGTAGATAACCTAGAAAATACACATCGAAATATTTAGGAAACTCAACTATTACAGGAATTAATGATAAACATTTAAATAGGGCTGATGATAATCCTTTTTAAAAGTATTTTCGTTGTGGGAAAAACTACACAGCACCAAATAAAATCTTTGAAACCATAACGCTACATTTATCTGAACAAATTTCTTTGGTCAAGAGTTTTTGAAAACTTACTACTAACAAACTGGAAAAGCAATGAAATAGTTATGAAGGCAGCCCGAATGTCACGCAGCTTCAAAAGTATAGTGGGTTTCACGGTATATGGTATTGGCTAAACGATTATAATGAAACCAATTAGACCCTCAAGTTATAAAACCCGAAAATGCCGGATTTATGAAATTTATACATATATGAAGCCCGATAAGTTCAAAACACTGGAAATATAAGGAAATGATTCGCATCACAATAATGAATAGATTCATATACCGGGATATGGACCTGAACACTCACTACGTGGACGCGTATATGAGAGAACACGCAGAAAATGTGTTCGAAAGAGTTCGATCACACACCAGTCCAGCTGCTTGATCTTCGTGAAGCGCTCAACAGGTAAGATCCAAGATTCCGAGAAAGAGACAAACACAAGAGGCCAACGAGACAAAACCAAATGGTAAGTATAAAAATTGTATGAACAGACCTAACATTCACTTCTTTTTCAGATTCACAAATAAACACTAGTTCGCGATCAAAAGACACTTGTCTCCGGTTAGTTTAAGGGGCCCCATGCACAAATTACATTCAGTAAAGTCACGTTAAACAAAAATAACAGATGAAGAAAGGAAAAGAACCTAAAAGCTGACTTTCGACCGCAGTAGGTCAGATGTTAATCTTGCTGAAGTGCCCATCAGCAGGTTGAGGTCCACTCTGCACTGAATGGGGGTGGATGGACGAGATTCTAGCTTCTGCACACAGTTACCGTGTGGGGAAGATTCTATCTCAGAACAGGTAATTTTGTCTCTCAGAGAAGGATTATAGAGGATTACAGCTCACACTCTATGTTATTTGTATTTCATTGGAAGTGTTCACTTGTGTTACGGCGTGCAATAATTTTAAAACATTTATGTTATTACATTTACATTTATAGCAAATTTTTAATAACCCGTTGGTACGAAATTGTCAGTATGTGGCGTCCGTGGATAGAAAATAATGGTGCATCTTCCAGTGATTTGTTTAAGAAAAAGCACTTATCTTGTGACGATCATTGTAAAAAATGTATATAATTCCTTACTTCAGGAAGGTGCCTCTTACTTCAATTAGACCAGTGGTTCCTAACCTCTTCAATGCCACTACCCCTGTGAACAACTACGGGAATTGAGTTTACCCCTAGCGAATTTAAAATAATTCAACCAAACAAATTCGAACAAAAATATCTTTATTAGGTAAGAAATTGCACGTTTAGGTAACTAGTAATATATAAATCTCGGACTTAACTAGTGTGAAGGTTGATATTGCTTTGCATTCGCAAGTTTAACAATATTAGGTTCGGTTTCACTCAACGCGCATCTCATGTCATGCTCCACATTCAGACGGTTTCTGGCTCTTGTTTTTAATGTAACAAGAGTCGAGAAACCAGTTTCAGTTGCAGCAAATGGAATCAACATTTTTTAAGCTCTGTCAGCTAGAGTAGGATATTCTGCAGCTGTTTTTCGCCAAAATATGCCGGGTTCTTTTTTTTTTGAAAATCAACTTTCAATGGGTTATCCTCCCGTAGTCCAAGAAACTCTACTTTTGCTGACATATCTTCGTCCTTGAAAATATCGATGCAAGTGGAAACAGGTCTTAAAAATCCAGGAGTAGGACTCACGACTATCCATCTATCTCTATCTCAGCAGTTAAATGTTGAACCACGGAATTTTCAAACGTCATTTTGTCTTGTTTAGTATTTACTTTTATTTTGAAAATCAACTTTCAATGGGTTATCCTCCCGTAGTCCAAGAAACTCTACTTTTGCTGACATATCTTCGTCCTTGAAAATATCGATGCATGTGGAAAATGGTCTTAAAAACCAAGAGTAGGACTAGTAGGAAGAGGAAATATTCAGACTATTAATTTCACTGAAAAAATCAGCAAGGTACGCCATCTTTGCTACAAATGTTTGGTCTTTGATTTTTGCATGATATTCTTTTTCTTTTCGTGATCTCTGATTTTCAAAAAACAATCCAATTTTTTCTCGTAGTTCGTAAACCCTACTTAGAACTTTCCCTCTTGATAAGCAACGTACCTCTGTATGGTACAAAAGAGCATTAAATGTAGCACCAACTTCATTGCACAACATTTTGAATAATCTTTAGTTCGTAGTGCTGCCTCGAATGTGATTGACAACTTATGTAACAAATCTGGTGGAGTGGTGGAAGTCTTCACGGCCAAAGGGTACCGGTGTATCAAGCAATGATAGTCGAAAACTTGAGGAGCAACTTGTTTCACGAGTGCTTGAAATCCAGAACGGATGCCCATCATGAAAGGCGCCCGATCTGTACAAACACCAACCAGCTATAACCAGTCCAGGCCATTTTCCTCAATAAACTCTTTTAGCGTTTGAAATACGTCTTCGCCGCGAGTAGTAGAGGCCAAGACTTGCAGAACAAATATTCCTCCTTTATATCATCATCTTTAATGTGTCATGTGAACACCAATAATTAATAATAATAAACGCCGGCCCGGCCGCCGCTAACCACATCGAAGCCGTGCTTCACCTCTTCCACACCGTCGCTCTACCCGTCGTCACCGTCAGCCGCGCGCATTAGAGCATCGTGCTATCATACTATCATTTTGTTTTATTATTTTAATACTTTTTTGTGCCAACTCTGTTACCCCCTAGAATTGCCGTTTTACCCCTGCGGGGGTAATTACCCCCAGGTTAGGAAATACTGAATTAGACGAATTGTTGGAGATCCCATTGAATCAAGTAAAAGTCTAAAATACCGGCTCGTCAATGACGAAACTCGCTACTCTTTAGCGAGCTCTGTCTGCAGTGGGCTTAAAATATCGCAAAATTGACAAGAAACAAGTATTTCATCAGTTCGTACTTCCATCGTCTAATATAACCAGAAATCCAACCACCATCAATCGACTAAGAGAGGAATCATCAATATTTTCAGCTTTTATTAATATTTCAATTTTTTATTTTCTGGTTGTAGCTTGTAGGTATGTTATTTCCTTTTGATTTCAGTTTTTTGTTTTAATAAAATTGTTATTTTCGGTTAATCTTTTGTTTTTTTCAGGAATTTCAAATCAATTTATATTATATTAGACAATGGAAGTCCGAACTGATGAAATATACCACGAAACATTGTCAATCACCTACAAACAAAGAAACAAGTAATAATGTAATCCTCGCGTTTGATAAACTCTTCGATCCAATTTTTTCAATAGCAGAAAATCGCTGAACACGCGTAACACTTGCTAAACAACTGAAACTACGAACACATGTTCGAGACCAGTGTACCCACATAAAAAGAAATTTTTAAACAAAACTCTACATTTTTTATTCTTTTCCAATTTCCCTACATCCCAACAAATATCTAGCAAAAGCCAATATCAAAGTTTTACTTTTACAATTGCATCAAATAATCTTTAGAAATATCACGTCACGGCGAAGTAAATTGCTGTAAACGAAAATAATCCATTCATGGAACGACATTGAAACTAGTCACGTTATCGTTTGCTATATTAGAAACAGTAAACGAAAATATCAAATGACAAGGAATAGCATTCGACATCAGTTTTACAACTGCCTTCACTAACACAAATCCCATCAGCAATTACTATAATCTATTATTCGTTGTTAAAAATAATAAGATAGAAATAAGTGAACGATATGTTATCGTAAAGACAGAAACAAAAGATGGGATGGCATTCAAAATAGTGAACGAAAACGATTGGGAATTATTTCAGCAGTGATATTTTTTCTTCTTTCGAAAAATCAATTAAACGATAATTTTTAATTGAACAGACTAAAACACAGTCTATAAATGAAGAAACAATCATATCAATATTAGCAGTTTGAAATTGTCTGTCACATGTTCATGGAAAGACAAAGAGCTATCTATGGTTATGTCAAGATTTTTAGCACTGTCTACCCAGTCAATGTCTGCGTTATTGAGAGTGAGCTTAAAGTTACACTGAGTTTCTACTATTTGTCTTTGAGACCCTATGCATAAGGCCAAAGTTTTATTTGTATTGATTTTCAGTCCATGAACCTCCGAGTATAGGAATGTTTTGTGCAAATCTGTGTTTATATTGGCCACGCAACTTTCTGTATCGGTGTTATGTGTTATATGTTATGTTATAAATGTTTGACGTGATTCTTCAAATTAACATATTTTTCTTACTCGGGAACCTATTGAAATAAATCAAACACCGAATGTGAATTTAACACAATACATAAGTAAAACCACTTCAAAATCGAATAAGTCGTTTATGAGATTAGCGTGCACAAAACCGCAAACAAATAGACAACCAGAAACCTATAAATAATTTGCTTTGGGTCTACTACGTTAACAAAAACCTCCACTAATAGTTTTTCTCAAATATTTTTCTTGTGCAGACAGCGATCAGTTATACTTTTATTTTGATCTCACTTTGATCTTCCTCTTGAAGGTGATCACTTCGTGATCGAAACATTACTACACCAAAGATTCCAAGCAGTGCATCACAAATACTTTCATTGTATATCTATTGAACATATTTTGTGTGACATTTTATCACAAATAAAACTAGGGTGTCATACGGGACAAGCTAATTTTTGTGACTTCCTGCTAATTTGTACTAAAAGCACCATGGCAATTAGTCAATTATGGAAATCACGATCAGTTTTGTTTGTGTAAGCAGTTTTACATTATTTTATAGACTATCGCTTTGTTAAAATATTTACTTGACTCACCAATTTTATTTAGCAGTTTATTAGTGTTTACGACAGTAATATTCCATAACCATCCTTTTATGTGGTAAAAAAGTACCGCAACATGGAATG